CTTGACTTAGGATAAAACCATAAGACTTACATACCTTTTAGAGAGATCAAAGTTCACGCAGTTCGAAAGTAAAAATGCATGTTAGTTTGTTAATTTTTTAAAAAAGTTTTTAATTGGATCGGTATCTTTTAATTTTTTTTATAAAAACTTATTTCCTTATTTGAAAAAGGATTTTTTTTAAAAAAATAAATTATATTGAAATTTCTATGGAGATTTACAGAATCTCACATAAAAATTAATTTATTTTATGCCTTTGAAGATTTTGAAATATCACATGGCATAGAAATTTGTTTCCCAACCCATTTATAATTACAAAAAAAAAACTCTCCTTTTAAAAAACAGAATAAAACAAATCAATTAAGGATCATGACTAGTGTGCCTATGATGGTCCATTGCCACACACGGCATACCAATAAAATAGCTACCTGCAGAAACTCTAAAAATTTCACACGATATAACAAAAAAAAATATATAATACAAACACAATAGTCTCAAATCATATGGTGTAGTGTGTGTTAGAGAAGGGTATAATAATATAAATGGCTCATTAAAAAAATAAGAGATCAAACTTTTGAGACTTTATCACTTGTCATAATTTAGATGATTATTTCAATCATCTTCATCTCATAAGAAAAAAAAAAAAAACAACCAACACATGCTTGAATGTATGTGTTCGTGTATGCTCACTGTGACAAAATCACGTATATATTTTCCTTTCTTTTGTCTATGTGAATGAAAGGCCACACTTGGAATAGGAAAAAAAAAAGGAAAAGAATGAAAGCTGATGCTTGTGGTTAAAGTTGATTGAGAGGCCAAAGAAAAAAGAAAAGGGAACAAAAAATAAATAAATAAGGAAGAATTAAAACCAACAGATAGAGGAATAAAAAACACACATATGTACATATAGGAATAGATGCTTCATGTGGGACCCACAAGACTAAAAAAAGGATTGATATACTCTAAAAAATTACTCCCTCTGGTCCTATTTAGGGTTGAAAGAAAAAAAATTTTTTTTGTTATATTCATAATGAGGTAGGGAAGGAAAAAAGAGAGAAAAAAATAAAACAAAAAAAAAAGAGTGGGTCTGGGAGAGGAGAAAGGGAATCCAGTGTAGGAACCTATATGCATATATATAAACACATGCACACAGGAATTTTCAAAGGGGAAGAATGAAAATCAAAATGATCATCAAATTATTACTAATCCTATACCCTTTAGCCTTTAATTTTTAAAAGATCATACATGTGATCACAAATGAGAGGATTGGCTTTTCTTAGAGTATTAAAATAATAAGCAATTAGTATTATCTTATCTAGAGCTTTCCTATCCAATTCTAATATCATATTATAATGAGTGGAGATGATATAAGAGAATAAATATTCCTTACCTTTATATCAAACTCTCTCAAGCTTCTTTATTTGTTGCCTCCTTCTTCCTCTTCTTTTACCTTGATTATCACCTTTTTATAGATAAAAATTAGGATTTCACACCTTAATGGTTGAATCCTATCAAATCATAATTTGTGATTAATTTTATTTGACTTCTTCAAATTGAAGACTCATATTAAGGCACAAATTTGTGAATTTTTCATTTAATTCTTATTTATTAATTTTATTTTTTATTATTTTATTACAAAAAGGCTCTTCAATTTTTTATTTTATTCTTTTATTTTTTTGTGAGAGCCGGAACAAAATGGGATGTTCACAGGTCTAGTTAGATTTTTTTTCCCCCAAAATTTTATTTTCAGATAGGTCTCAGGTTGTGCGGTGGTATTTCAGATTTTTAGGATCATTCTTTACTATTAAAACGCCACAGGGTTCTTAAATGATATTTTCCCTAAAATTAATACACATTTTTTTAACAAATAACTAACTAACTGAATTTTATTAATCTATAAGAATTAGTTAGCTCATCATAATTGTCAAAATGGTGAAGCATTTTTACTTGTGAGTTCGTTGAGTAAAATAGGACTCAAGGCATAGAACATACTGTAGCTAGTCATCAATAGTCAATACTCTTTTGTGGGGTATCGTTCAATCCACGAACTGATTTCAAAAGGACTTAATTACGCAAATTGAAAATAAAAACTCATCATACTTTAGATTTTACATGGTTCAAGATTTGGTGAAATTTACTTTTTTTAAAAAAAATTAATTATTATGCAAATGCTTTTGATAAATCAGCTGGCATTCACCTTTTTCCTAGGAGAAATACTCAATAGAATGGATGCACCGTATCACCTATGATCTTCTAATAAAAATAAGGCATTTAAATAATATTAAATATAAATTGATTTTAATATTAATAATAAAGAGAGAGAGAATACAAAAAATCAAATGTGTATCATATTATAAAAATAAAATCATTTAAAAAAATATCAAATAAAATTTTATTTAAACTACTTAGAGTATTTTAATTAGACAAATTACAAATGATATGATATACTAAATATACTTAAATATTTTTCATTTCGCATATGGTTTCATTATTCCACATGTATGCATGTAACGAAACTTATTTACTACGTTCAATTCAATTTTGGATAAAATTGGACCTATTGCACTTTTTAGAAAAATGCACTGGATGCACTTTTTTTATTTATTAAATAAAACTTGTGAAGAGTGAAAAATAATATGTATAACGTGTCAGGTAAAAGTAAAACACAATAATAACTCTTGTTTTGATAAAATTACAAAGTTCCCTCCTTTATTTTTGACCAACAATTTAGTTCAAATTTTAACACCACTAAAATATTCCGTTAAAAACTTTGAGATGCTTAATTGATTATTTATAATTATGTTAAAATTTTAAAAATTATTAACTTGTCCTTATGATCTAGTTATCTACTCTCTCCCCATATTTAAAAAAACTTTAAATAGTTAAGTATAACAATATTTAAATAAATAATTTAAAAATTTGTGTTAAAACTAATGAGATTTGAAGAAAAATAAATATAAATTATATTTTGTAATTTATTATATCAAATCCTTCTTTCATCTAATTATTTTAACTGCGTGTTTAATTATTATTTTAGACAATTGATGTACTTAAAATTTTAAAAATTACTAAATTAATACGTTTACATTACTAAAAAATTTTAAATATAAATAAAAAAGTAACAAATACATGTATTAATTTTTGTGGGGCAATTGGAATGATTTTTAGACAATATTTATATTTAAAGAGGGATATTTTAGTTTAACATATATAACTTAACATTAACTATTTGTTAGATGGATAATAATGAAATTTTAAAAATATGAAGATATTTATATTTTGTAACTATTCATACTAAAAAAGTTCTGTATAAATTTTGAAAATAGGAAAAAGAAATATATAATTAAGGTAAAATAAAGAGGGAGTCAAAATATTTTATTCTTAAATTAATAATACAAACTTGTTTGATACAGATACATGATGCACTTCTGTGACAAGTACATTGATGAATCATATATTTTGTACATTTTTTTTTAATATTTGTGACCATATTTTATTAATTTAAACCCTTATATACATGATTTTAACATTGAATTTAATCATCAATTTATTTATATTAAGTTTTGACATTATGAGCATTCTGATTATTTTACACATTTTATTAAAATTAATTGTTTTTAATTTGGAATTTCAATTCCTTAACACATTTTATTATTTGGACAATTTTTATTCTCATTTTTAAAACTTTGTTGTTTCAATTTTATTAGATTGGTTTAATTTTTTTTATTTTGCGTTTTTAAACATTTGGGGGCTAGTTTAGTAATTTTCTTATTTTAAATCGGTTTTTTTGACTTTTCAAAAAGAAGAAAAAATCGCAGAAGAGAGAGGAGATTCAGTTCGTTCATCTCCACCATCAGATGCAAGCACAGGATCACACATCATTGCATACATCTTCCTCTGGGTTCAGAGTTCAGCCATGAGATCGCACAGCTACCTCACAGCCAGAGACACCATCGCATTCGTCTTCTCAATCCGAGGTTCAACGCTCCCATTTCAGTCCACCACACACAAAAACGATGATGCACACAATAAGTTTGAATTTAAGATTCAATCGTTAATGTTGTGTAAATATTAATCTATTTAATCCTTACTGCGATGTCTGAATTATTTAACTTCTATTAGGTCTTAAATTGAAGTTAATTACATAATTTTTAATTGGTTCTAAGTATTAAAATATGATCAAAGGCAATGCAAGTTATAATTTTAAAATCAAGTCATTGTTTGGCATAATTTTCAAAAATTGTGTCTTGATCTACGCCATAGTCACCTGGTCTTAATGGTGATTAGACATTTTATTTAATGTTAAATGAGTTACAAAAACCAAATAAATTGAATTTAGAATTCTATAATGATGAGAGTGAATTTAAATCTTGAAAAACTTATTTATTTGTTTGGTTAAATTGATTTCACTTCATTCCATATTTTTCATATAGAATTTAAAAATTATAAATATTTTAAACCTTGAACTTTCTTTTCAAAATCAATATCATTCTTAACTTGAAAAAATTATTTATAAATTGTCTTGATTACTAAAATTTATTTTCTCGAGATTTTGATGACTTGAGTGTACTCAACTATATTTTAATTCTTTTGAGAAGCTTGATACACCAAATCCAAATTTATGAACGTTTAACATATTAAAGGAATAAAGATATTGAACTAACATAACAAAAGCTGTTTAGATTTATTTTTAGGTCACAACTGTTAAGAGTGCGAACATCACTTCACAAGTGACTAAAAAAATTATTCCCTTCAATCCAAAAAAATATATATATATATATATATGTATGTAGATATTTTCTCCCAGTGAATCATGATTCAATACAAACAGCTTAGTATTTAGTTTTTTTTTTTTCACATTTTACCCCTTTATTTATTAATCTAGATTCTTGTGATTGTGAATTATAACCTTTTTTCACTCATCATAAATGGAAACTAAGTAAAAAGAAAAAATAATATATATTTTTATGAGAATAAGAATTTTATTAATATGCAAATTAATGTTAAAAGCACAAGTCACAAGTGTGATAACTTTTGAATAACTTTGTTAAAGTGAAGTAAACAAATTTGCATACAGGGGAGGCTACTATGAAATCACAAGGCAAATTGCATGCTATAATTCCTACTTACATCATAAACATTTATAAATTAACAATAACAACAGAACCAAAATAATTGTAAAATATCTCCAGGTGATGTATTAATTCAATGTAATACCTTTCTTTTCTTATTTGAAAGTGTAAGTTTGGACACGATTCTGAGATCATGCTCTTCCTTTCTTTTTGTCATCCAACGCCTGTTTCCCCAACAGAAAGGAAGTTCCAAAAAGAAGAAATGTCAGACAACGAATACCCAATTATTTCACAGCACTCGTTTACAAGACTGCTGTGAACAATGGATAGAATATAGCTTCAACACGATGATGGAAACCAATATTTAATTATAAACTAAAATATACTAAACTTCCTTGAACTTTAAGATAACTGCACAAAAAGTTACATTTAAAAGTTTAAAATTAACCTCCCTGACCTTTTGTTGTTTTTTACCACAAACTCTCCTACTGTTATATTTTAGTTATCTTACAAGTAAAAGTTGCCATGTCATATTTAAAAAAGACACGTAACAATTTATGTAGCATTTGATGTAAACCAACAAGAAGAAAAATATGGATAAATTTTTTATAAAACTATTAATAGCTTACATTAGATGCCACATAAGCTGTTATGTGTTTTTTTAATATGACATGGCAATTTCTGTTAATAAGATAACTAAAAAAATAACAGTATAGAAGCTTGTGGTAAGAAAAATAAAAGTTTTAGGGAGGTTAATTTTAAACTTTTAAAGGTGAGGAGGGTTTTGTTCAACTATTTCAAAATTTAGAGAAATTTTGTATATTTCAACCTAATTAATATAAAATATAAAATTCATAACACTTTGCATTATTCACAAGCCATGAATAGAGCAACTCATGATCACATTCTGTGTAATGCACCAGAGGCCACTTAATTAGTAAGGAAATCTAATGATAGAGTTACATCTACCTCTTACGAACCAGGAAGAAACAAAAAGCTAATGAAAGATTCAAGAAATTTTTATTCAAGTTGAAGAAAAATTTGTGAAAACTTATTTTCAATGCTACATTTACTTGTCAATGACTTTGTCAGTGATATCCAAGAATTTCTTAAAAGGCAAAGCCATACCTTACTCTGATACATCCGCATAGTCAACACAAGAGTGTCACGCATTCTACAAAATGAAGGATAATGAATACTGTAAATGATATCTATAACAAACCACTTTCAAATGTATACTTGCTACACATGATTTAGGGATACTATATTCTTTTAAGTGAAACCTAAAGTAGCAATACCCAAGGAAAATATAGGACAAAAATTTACTTGAAGTAAATTATTTAAAAGGATGGGCACAAGAACTATCAGCTACACCAGGATCAAGAATGAGAGGAAGAGAATATAGAATATATGTTCCCACTACATATTGTAAGGAAGTTTAATGCCCAAGTATTTTATGAATGATAATAGTCTACAGTATAAGAGTAAATAGGAGATTTTGCCTGTCAATTCCTGTCATTAGGAACTAGGGTACATTCAGGGATTTGAAAGTGTATATTTGGAGCGCATGAGACACAACATATTTTACCAAAGCTAACGGACTCGATTAAAAGAAAACAGTTTTGAAATTAATAAAACATGTATTACCGAACATCATGAGTGCATAATGGATGGGAAGATCCATTTGAGCATGTTAATACAAACTGTTTTGTGAGACCGCAAGGAACTTTTATCTGCAGAAAAACAATAAAATGAAGTGTGTTTTAAACCCCTAAACAAGATACAGTAATCAGCAAAATGATTAAAAATTGAGAAGAAAATTGGAGTTATATGCCAGACAGAAAGGGCAGAAAGTTGTCCCCCAACAATCCAACATGTATATGTCCAACTTTTAACATCGACACCAGCGCAAATCAAAATTATTCTTACAACTACAGAATATTAATCAATTGGTTGCAGTCATTGCTATAATCATGGGACTGATTGCCATTATAATGGTTACGTCTCTCCTATATATGTCTTCTTCCTATGTGTTTGGCTGACACAACTGTGTTTAATGGTATCAAAGCATGAAGCCAAATGAACCTCAAAAAGTGGTTGGCAATGGTTCCGCCTTCAACGCAGACTCTCAGTTAAGCTCATCCATTGAGTAAGCCATGGCAGCAATGAATGCCCATGGAGCATTATCCAGCACAAAAGACTCAATCTTTCAACCTCCCATGAAGCTTCTCTGATTCTCATCATTGAGTACAAGCTGAGACTTTACAGCTACTTGACTCACTTCAATTTGATGATAAGTGAAGGGAAGGAAAGGTTGGTTATCTAATAACACTCCTCAGCCTAGACCAAATGACCCAACAATATTCAATTGGGATGCAGATAATTCTAATTAACTCTAGGACCAGTGAGAGAGAATTTCACTCTATAAAACAGCTAGGAAGATTTGACAGAGATGTTCAGTAGTCATTCTCTTCTGTTGATAATACTGCTAGTATCTTCCAGGTCAAATGCTAGTTGCATAATTGCTTACAGGGGAGGCTATGATAGATTATTGGCAGCAGGTTGATTTGTATGGAAACCACAATAGGACGTGTGCTACAAATTCTGCTTATTACCAGAAACTATTTGCAAAGCAGGAAGGAAGTTGGAGAGGGCTTAACCAAGGCTGTTAGACCAGAACATGAGAATCTAGCCCTCATTACTAATGGATCATATAATATAGCATACAGGGAAGAACTTGGATTAAGTATTATAGAACAGGTCACATCAAGGTCAACTGGTGGAAACTTCATGAAAAATCAGTGACATGGAAACCAAAAACTAGAGCGATATTCACGGTATGATTGTAACCAATACAGGACTGTAAACTGTTAAAAGAGAATGGGAAAAATTCCTTGTGCATATTATTCACAAAAATATGCCTATGTATATATATACACAAGGGAGAGGCTCCAAGACATAAATGCTTATCGTGAGAGATTATTATAATAATACCCATAAATAATACTGAAGTAATTACACGATTATAGATTAATAACAGAACATTCTCCAACAAGAGTTAATGAAGTTCCTACACTTGGTATTGAAGGCAAAACTTCAGAAAAGGTGATTGGAACCAGAGTGGTCACCCAAACAGGTATATCCATGATGGCTTGTTGCATTCACAAATTCCCATTTAAAACTCATGAATGGTTGAAAAAATGACCATATAACTGCTAACTTGTTATTGTTTGACCGTACAAAATTTCATGAGGAATTGCTTTAGTGGTTGTAGGAATGCGGTGTTATACCACCATTCAGCTTGGGATAGTTAAAAAAAAAAAAAAAAAAAAAAAAAAAGATACATTTCCCTTATTTATCCCACAGCCCTGCTTTAGATGTTTTGGACAGGTCTTTTACAGGTAAGGAGGCAGTAATGGGTGTTTTACAGCATCATCTTCAGGGCAGCCAATATGATGAAGCAGCAGAAAGCTGATTCTCACATGATTGACTGAGAATTTGCTGTGGGACAGTGGGTTTTCTCAAGCTACAGCCCTATAGACAAATCTCAGTAGCTACAAGGAGTTCCCAGAAATATCTCCTCATTATTTTGGTGCTTACAAAGTTTTGGAGAGAATTGAGCTGTTGCTTAGTGATTGGAACTACCTCGAGTCAAGGATTCATCCTGTGTTCACATGTCACTTCTAAAACTATGTCCAAAACCCTAAAGCAACGACATCCTGCTAATGATTGGCCTGCATTGCCACCTGCACTAGAACCAGAAAAAGATTTGAACAAATGAATTGGTAGGAAAAGAGGGGGAATTATTACTGAAATTCTAGTACAGTGGAGAAATAAACCAGATGAAGAAGCCTCATGGATGTCACTTATCAGTTTCAACAGAAATTTCCAGATTTTGTTGTGATTGACCTTGAGGACAGTTTCTTTTTTTTTTTTTGGGGGGGGGGGTATTGTTACATAATTATAATCGTGACAGTTATACTAGAAAAATTCTGATATAGAGAGGATATAGGGAGGATTGGAGAGAAGAACAGAGAAGAATGAAGGAATCAGAGAGTTCAGAGGGATTGAGAAGAAGAGAGAGAGAGAGACTAGACAGATTCACTGAATAGTACGCAACTTGTTATTGATATCATAGATAGGATTTGCAAATGTATGTCAGGGTATTTATAGGCTCTAAACCCACCTAATCATCCTAACGGCTAGTTTCCTAAGAGCTCTAATATAACTAACCAACTAAACAGTCACAATCCATTGGTGCAGAAGTTTCTGAATATTTGAGTAAGCACTTTCAACCGCCAGCCTTGCTCCATGTTGAAGATGCTCCATTAACGTTATATGGATAATAAATATCCTCAAGGGTAAATCAGTAAGCTCTGACCATTTTTGTCAAGGTGCTTTTATTCTTATCTTTCAGGCTTTTTTCCCACCAGGCGTTTCCATCGACATAAGATGAACAAAATCAATGTAAGAGAATAAAATGTTGACTTTTGTACAGTATATGCAGAAAAGTAACAGAATAAATCATGGGATTCCAAACTAATATATATATATATATATTGCACCATTTCCTAACATTAATATCACACATGCCAATTTACCTTTGCCATTCCCAATAAACATCATACCTGAGCTACAAATTTAGAACATCAATGAGAATGCTTGGCCAAATATTTTAACAAGTTTTTCACAAAAACATTTTATTAGTTGACAACTTGCAGTGAAATCCTGTGTAAACCAAATAGGTGAGGAATGTAAATTCTTGATTTACATTGAAACTACTGCAATTAAACTCTTAATGACTGTAGGACATACCGATAA